TACTGCATATAGGTCTGAATGTGTTATTCATGCTTTTCTTCCATGACCACGTTGAAAGGACTCTTAGATTTTCCTTTAAAAAAAGTATGATTTAAGCTGGTGAACGATCACATTCTTTGTCCATTTCTGCAGTGAAGAAACTGAACACTCCTGATTACCGCCATTACCTGAAACTGTGGAACCAGGAGATGAGACCTAAACGGGAAAACACAAAAGACCTGCCGAAACTGAACCAGGTGAGACTTCATTTGCTGCACAGATTACTCAGCAGCGTGAAGACACAGCCATCAGTGACCTGTTTTTAATGTTTCTGTCCTGCAGAGCCAGTTCATCGAGCTTTGCAAGACCCTTTACAGCATGTTCAGTGAAGATGTGGCAGAGCAAGAGCTCTATCACGCTACAGCAACGGTCACCAGTCTGCTGCTGGAAATGGGAGAGGTGGGAAAGCTCTTCTCCTCCTCTTTTAGAAAGGACCACAACCAGGAGGGGAACTCGGAGCCGAGCGTGTGCATGAGAGACGTTTTAGATCCTAAAGGCACCCAGGAGGTCCAGGAGCTGGGGGACATTTTTGTCCCTGCAGGTCTTGAGAATAAGCCGAGCCCCTGTGAGGAGGGAAAGGGGGATGAAGACAGCGAGCAGCTGCCCCCTATGCAAGACATCAAGCTTGAGGACTCGTCCCCTAAAGACACGGGCACTTCCTCGGCTATGCTCATCTCAGACGACGAAACCAAAGATGACACTTCAATGTCATCTTACTCGGTGCTCAGCGCGGGCTCTCACGAGATGGACGAGAAGCTGCAGTGCGAGGACATCGCGGACGACACAGTGCTGGTGCGCAGCGACGGCGGCTCCAACGGCGAGAGAAGCAACCGGCCTCTCGGCGGGGGGCCTCACGACAGAGGCCTGCCTCACAGCACGAGCATCGACAAAGACTGGGCCATCACGTTCGAGCAGTTCCTGGCTTCCGTCCTCACCGAGCAGGCTCTCGTGCGGTACTTTGAGAAGCCAGTGGACGTGGCCGCTCGCATAACCAACGCCAAGAATGCCAAGAAAGTCGGGCGCCCCCTGTTGTCAACAAGTGACTATGAGATCTCGCTGTCTGGGTGAGGAGTTATCACTAAAGAACTGTCCTAAAAGGAAAACAAGAGTATAAATCAGTGGTGTTTTGTAAGGAGAATGAAGGTAAGCGTGTCTGTGTGTGTGTGTGTGTGAGTAATAGCTGAATGAATGGGACCAAAACCTCTCTTAGCAATGTATTTTAAAATAAATTAAAGACTTTTACAACAATCACTAGACTCAGTCCAGCTGAGAAGGAACAGAACATGCATATTACTGTTCGCTCAGATGAAATCCACGTGTACGTCGTAGCTGTACTTTATAAAATATCACGCATAGGTGTTAATACTGTAATCTCTATTACTCTTAGGCTATGTAGATGTAAATGTCAGTACAGTTCCAAACTGGGACATCAATAGTCTGCAGTGCGTACGATCACCTAACGTTATATCCGATCAAACTTGTTGCTTCCTTACTTTACGAATTCCATTGGCTGCTAATGAAAACATTTCTTTGTTTCTCAGTGGATGAAAATGTGAAAAACACAAAAGAAAACCCATGAAAATTCATAAGAGTGATTTTTTTCCTGAGTTTCCATGTAAACTCTTTTCAGCACCTCTATAAATTTAACACAGTGTGTCACTTTGGCAAATTTCGTATGCATATTTGTATTTTCTGTGATGTTAACTTTCAAAATACGGTCCTTTTAAAAGCCCCAGTTAATTTTATCCAGTTATAATAACTAGTAGGAACCAACCTGTATAATTAAACTAATAAAAATAATGATGGGGAAAGGAGAAAAATGATCCACATAAACAGTTTTTCTTTCTTTTTTTTAATTAAGAAGACATCCAGTCATGCCTCGTTACTACAGACAAAAGTGTTGGTCGATGGTTCAGGAAATCAAAAAAAGTTGTGTGTTCAAGGAAAATGATTAGTACACTAAAATGCCGTTAAGAGCCTGCACTCTCTTTATGTTTACAGCAAAATCCACTAAGATATGTTTCCCTGCCTTCAGGCTAGCTGTTTTGTTTTTGCTTTTTTAAAACTTTTTTATCTTTATGCTCTGTACATTTTTACGTTGCTTTTTTTTAAAATGAAAGTTCTTTTTTGTGAATACTTTCAATTGTAAACGCCCAGTGTTTAATTTATTACTCTGGGTTCTGATGCATTGTATATCACTCCATCCTATTAAAGTTACAGTTTGAATGGTTGAATGCTGCACAGTAAAATGCCTCCAGTCTTCTTTCTTCTTCTTTCACTGACCTCATATTGCTGAGCGCCTACAGTCTGAAAACAAGGAGTGATACTGCCACCTGGTGGAAGATTGGTTAACATGCTGATCTCCATTAATCCATCCTGAACACCAACTGCATCGTCAAAGGGCTGTTCATACACTCGCTGAACACTTTATTAGGTATCCTAGTACCGGTTTAGATCCCCTTTGGTCTTTAGAGCTGCCTCAGTTCTTCATGACAGAGATTCAAGAATGTGCTGGAAACATTCCTCACAGATTTTGGTTTATGTTGAGATGATGGCATCACACAGCTGATCCATGATCTGAGTCTTTTGTTCCACCTAATCCCAAAGTTGCTCTGCTGAACTGAACTTTGGTGACTGTGAAGCACAGTAAAGTCTGGCATTTCTGACCAGAGAACTGCTGCTCGCTGAATTTTTTTTTTTTATCTGCAAAAATTAGGCTGTGTGGGGAAAATTGCTGTAGACCAGCAGTTCCTGAAATACTGTTGGTAACAGATTACTGTACTACTCTGTGCAGCTGGATTGTTCAGTGTTTTTGATTGTCTGTGGTGAAAGAGTACATGAATGTGTACTCTTTTACTCAGTTACAGTTCGCCTCTTTCTCCCTCCTGGACCGCACACTGTGGGGCTGTGGCCTAGGTTAACCAATCACAGCTCACCGAGCTCATTTACAGCAGGACTTTCTGCTGATTGTGAGGATTGTCTCTTCTCAGACAAATGATAGAGCTATAAATAATTAATCTATTAGAATTTGTTTTCTTCAGGCTCTTCAAATACATTTTAATTGTATTTTCTTACACTCCCTCTAATGTTCACCATCATAAGTGTATGTATACACATGTTCGGGCATTTCAGCTGTGCTTTATAATTATCTTATATAGGGAGGAACAGAAAAGGCTTGAGTTTCTCCATTCGGTCTATTTATCTAACTCGACCCAACATTTTTTAATCTGCAGTGTTTATTATTAGTGTACGTTTTACATCGCCATTACTTTTTGCAATTTCATGCCTTTTCATGCCACGGTTAGCACTGTTGCCTCACAGCAGTAAGTTCCTGGGGCTTCTCTGTGTGGAGATGTTCTGTGGGTTCTCTGTTTTCCCCTCACAGACATGTGTGGGGTTAAGCTCACCAGGGATTGTAACTTCACTGAATTGCTATCGGTCTGTGATAGCCCTGTGTCACACTGTCCAGGGCAGGGGTGGGCAATTCCAGGCCCCGAGGGCCGGTGTCCTGCAGGTTTTAGATCTCACCTTGGGTCAACACACCTGAATCACATGGTTAGTTCGTTACCAGGCCTCTGGAGAACTTCAGGAGCTAATTTAGCCATTTAAATCAGCTGTGTTGGTTCAAGGACACATCTTTTTGGACAAAACCTACAGGTACACCGGCCCTCGAGGCCTGGAGTTGCCCACCCCTGGTCCAGGGTATACCCTGCATCTTGCCCTGAGTATCCTGGGTTAGGCTCCAGTCCCTCCTGTAATGATGAAATGCAGATATAAGCTCTCTAAATATAGAGATGTATCTGTAAGCTCTCTGAACCTCACCGTTTAAACAAAAAAGGGCTGAATTGAACTGGAAATACTCGGTGTAACTATAAGTATTGCAGTTTAATACAACACTGCAATGAATCGTTGTTTAGCATTTAATGAAGGTTGTTAAGCTTTAGTTGAAACAGTTTTTCAGGGGTATTTATTCAGTCTTGTAGAGGGTAGTTTGTGGTGTGCTCAAACCAATATGCAGAAAAAATGTTTAAAAACTAAAAATAATTTAATGACAAAAGAGATCTGATGATTATAAACTTAATGGCGATAGTTTTAACATAGGGCTGTCGAATGGGACAGCATTAGTAAACGTTATGTGGGAATAATTCTCAATGTTTTTCTTGTCTTTGCTCTTTTTCTAAGAATCTACATTTTCCATACTGTTACGTACATACACCATGTGTGATGTAATGAACAGGAGCGACTGCTGTCAAACTGCTGAGAGGCCAAACATGGTGTGATGTAAAGTTCTTATCAGCTTCACTGTGAACTTCAGTCGCCAGCTGACGTCACCACACTCCCACTTCTGCCCCCTGGCCCAAAAAAGCACATCTTTAACATGAAATGTAAAAGCTGTTAGACTGAGACAGATAATAGAAATCATAAGTGAGGGGTAACAGAGCAAAAACTGTATGACGCAACAATGCTGCTGATAGCACAGAGGGGTAATTTGCTGTGAGGCTCGACCATAAAGTCTGTGGAACAGATCTTGATTTAGCCGGTCAGCTCCGAACGCTCTTGATCACAAGCTTTTTGCTGTCATTGGCTGAGAGGGGAGACGAGCCTCTGGTGAACCCTGATACCGATCTGTTATCGCTGCTGCTTGTGGCACACAGTTCATCTGAACAGTTAAATAATTCTTGAGACAATATTAAAGTCTGTTACAGATCCTGGATAGAAGAAAAATCCGCTGATAAACAAATTCTACCAAGTGAAATGAAAGAAAATGCACACTCCACAGACTATATTTGAAAGCATGAACATAACGTTTAGAAAGATCGTCATCAGTTAATGACACCTGTGGAAATTTGGATGGAAATAATCGTCAGTTTTACACACCCAAAAAACGGGGACGTTATATGGTTGTTTTTCTGTGTGAGGTGACTTGAACATTGACTTTCTGACAGTCTGTGGACTTTGAGTTGACCCAGGTGTACAGGAGTACACAGTAACGCCTCTCCGAGGATGTCATAAAAACGCCAGCCAGAAAACATAAAACCACAGCAAATGATGAGTCTTTCCTTCCTGCTGAGTGGGGCCCGGTGTGGATTTTAATCTGACCAATCGCATCCTGCTCGGTACCAAAAAATCCACCCGAGGATCAAAAGGAAATTTTAATTTCGGATCATGTAAGTGTGTTTCATGTCTTGAGCATCAGTCCACTTTGATTATTGATTAACCTTTCATTTAAACAGACAAATGATTTGTACAAGAGGTTAATGTTTATGTGGTTGCTTTCTAGAAGAGAATCTTACACTGATTTTTTTTTTTTTTGTGTGTGTGTTTTAATTGGTATTTCTGTGCGTGGATGCGTACCTGTCGTCCCAGCAGTAGGAAACATGGTAGGACTTAAACCCTCAGACGTTCCTCCTCCTTTGGGTGTGAAGATGGCGAGTGCTGGCGCAGCAGCCTGTATAGCCGACATGGTCACATTCCCTCTGGACACAGCCAAAGTCAGACTACAGGTATTAACTGTGCTATCAATATGATCTTTAGCCGGTCTTGCTTTGCTGTAGCCTACTGTGGGACACAACGTGATGTTTGCCTCATTGACGAAGAAGTCAACTTTGTCCACTTCAGCACCCTTCAGTCAAACTGAACCGTTTGGTCTTAAGCTTTCTGCTGCTGCTCTGTAAAGCTGGTTTTAACTTTGAGGACAATGTGTGACCCCAGATTCAAGGAGAGAAGAAGGCAGTGGGGGACATCCGCTACAGAGGGGTGTTTGGGACCATCAGCACCATGATCCGAACAGAAGGGCCCAAGTCTCTGTATAATGGTCTGGTGGCTGGGCTGCAGAGACAGCTGTGCTTTGCCTCCGTCAGAATCGGCCTCTATGACAACGTTAAAAATTTCTACACCGGTGGCAAAGACAGTAAGTTGTTGCCTTTTCATTTATTTTTTGGTTAAGTTAAACCTTCATAATTGTTCTTACTGGTGACAGTCGTGATTTCGAGATTTAATATCCAGCTGTCAAAAATCCAAGATGTTTATCAGATAGATGCAGTCGGTCTTATATTCCCTTAGATAAGGAATTCAGATGAAGGAAAGCTTCATTTTAAAAATAAAAAAGTGGGGAGAGTGAAGGAAGGCTATGTCTTGCAGACAAACATGCAATAGATAATTTACGCAGAACAGAGGCTTTTCAAATCTGATAAGTTAAACAAGATTTAGGGAAAGTGTTATTTCTCTCTTGAAAGCGATAAAGGATTCTCACAGTCTGGGTTGTTGAATCCGTTTCTTATCTTCATTGTTAAAACTGATACTAAAATTAGAAGTTCTCAAGCCTGTTATTAAAATAACTGAGTCTTTCCTTCTCTCCAGACCCTAGTGTACTGGTACGTATCCTGGCTGGCTGCACCACAGGTGCCATGGCGGTGTCCTTTGCGCAGCCCACCGATGTGGTCAAGGTTCGATTCCAAGCTCAGATGAATCTGGACGGAGTGGCCCGCCGCTACAGCAGCACCATGCAGGCTTACAGACACATCTTCCAACACGAGGGCCTGCGTGGGCTCTGGAAAGGTACATTCTTTGAGTGTTGCCCATTATTTAAAAAAGACAAACCATAACATCCTTTATCAGTAATGATTAAAGTATCCGTTTCCCTCAGGAACATTACCCAACATCACAAGAAACGCCCTGGTAAACTGCACAGAGCTGGTTACATACGACCTGATAAAGGAGGCCATCCTTAGACACAAGCTGTTGTCAGGTGAGGTCAGCTCACGGTTGTTTGCCTGAGCTACACAAACCCACACACACACATTCACAAAAACAGAGTCCCCGGGAGACTGCTGATTGGGCAAAAAATCCACACACCCTCTCACCTCTTTAACTGATACCAGCACAACAGGCTCCTACAGTACAGGACACGGTGTATTTTCTCTTTATGGTGCAGTGAGTACAATAGCAATATATTAGCATTTATCTCTAGAACTTATATTGCCCCATTCAGACGGTTGCACCATCCACTGACATGTTTTTCTGTGTCGCACAGCTGAGAATAAAGACCGTATTGTAATCTTTTCCCCAACTCTGTCCTCAGACAATCTGCCGTGCCACTTTGTGTCTGCGTTTGGCGCCGGCTTCGTTACCACAGTGATCGCCTCCCCAGTAGACGTGGTAAAGACGAGATACATGAACTCACCCCCGGGCCAGTATAAGAGCGCCGTTAACTGTGCCTGGACCATGTTAACTAAAGAGGGGCCAACAGCATTCTACAAAGGGTAAGCCTCTTCACCTGCGCCGCCCACGACAAACTCTTCAAGAGATCCAAATATCGATAGTATCGATACTTTTATATCCTTCACGTTCAGTTTGGAGCCCACTGAATTAAATCGGGATAAAAGGAAAAATATTCTTCAGGCATACAATATGAAAAATGTCTGAGTGTTTTTGTGTTGACTGATCCTTCTACTCTATAGCGCCTTTAAAAAAAAAAAAAAAAAGGTGAAATGAGAGGTGTGTTAACTCATTAATGAGTAAAGTAATGCAGTGGTCATTAAAAATTGATGATTCATCTCATAAATCATTACTATGCTCTCTTCTAAATAACATGACATAAGTTAAAAGTATTGGTATCGGCAATACTGGCCTTGGTATCGGTATCAATCCAAAAAAAATTGCAGCATTGCATGACACACAATTTCATTTTTTCACTCTTCACTTTTTCCATTTTGTAGATTCGTGCCCTCATTCCTGAGGTTGGGATCGTGGAACATCGTGATGTTCGTCTCCTTCGAACAAATCAAAAGAGCCATGATGGTCACAAAGCAGAGGATCGAAGTGGTTAATTGAGATTCCTCAAAGTTTGACTGTATTACCTGAACCACAACCGGACTGGCACCTGAATGAGGAAACCCTAGTAACAATAATTTCTTTTGTTAGCCTTATTTAACAAATCCACTGTCCTGTGGTGAGAAAGGCGGAAATCCTTTGTTGAAAAAGGATCGCCTCCTGAAAAAGTATTGACTTTATGTGCATGAGACACAGCCGTCTCCTTTTATATTTATAATTTGCCACAGTGAGCCCATTCCAGATGTCATGGATGGGAATATTACAGAAACATGCCAAGTTTGCACTGAGCCCTGTATGACTAAACCTGTCAGTTTTATGTTAGCTAGCTTAAAGCAGTGTGCCTTTACACTGAATGACTGGTACCCATAATAAAGCATAAAAGGATGTGTTTATGCAGGTCCTGAATTTACTAGACTTGTTTTACACAAACTGTTGTTGTTTGTTTTTGCCTTTTAAACACATGGACATGAAGAACATTTCAAAACAAATCTGCATTTACTAACTTGGAGTGAGTGAGATGTGAGTCGTTACATACATTCCTCAAATGCAAACCCACGGCATAAAAAGATCAGGTCATAAAAATTCAGCATCAGTCTAAAGATACACAACGTTATGAAAACAGGAGCTTAGTATAGTTTAGAGTACCACATCACTAACAGTACATTTTACAGTACAGATCAATGACATCAGTGGGGACACGTTAAATCATGCAAGACTTTTAAGCTGACAGCACCACAAGAGGAAAAATAAAGTGGAAATCACTCCTCACATCAAGTTTTAGCCATTATCTCTTAACATAAACTTCACATTCCTGAGCAGGACTTCTGTCCTTTCCTGTCTTTAAATATAACAATTTGGCTGCTTGCTCACTCAAAGTGCTTAAAGCCTCACAAAACGACGGATCCATTACTTTCTCTACAGTCCTCTTTGTGATCGAAAGCCCTCTGGAATGGTTGTTTTTGAGGTACAGGGCGTTGGATTTGTGCTCAGTTTGAGAAACTTTAAATATCATTACAACAATGATACGTGTGTTATGAATGAACCACAAAACCAAACACAAGAGGATTTATTGGTCTGGATCTTGTCTGGAGGGGCCGAACAGTATTCAGTCTGCGTTTACGGTTTTAATGCTCAGCTACGTTTACGAGGAACTTTCCTGCTTCTCCTTCTACCAATCGTAACATCGTGAAAAACGCTTTTAGTTCTTGGAGCCGACAGTCAATGTGAGACACACATCAGGGTCCTGTAGGTGTGTCCTGACTATGTTATGGAATTTTTCTCTGTATTGGTTGAATTGCATGATGCTCTCGGGTTCTTCTGCCACCCAGAACTTATCGAATTCATACGCCAGATAGCCTGTAAGGAGGAAAGACACATTTTTGAAAAATTTACCTTCTATCAGAAAATGTTTTTGTTTGTATACACTCACCAGGCAACTTCCTTAAATACACCTGTTCAACTGCTCATTACTGCATATTTAATTGGCTGATCACATGGCAGCAACTCAATTAGGCATGTAGACATGCTCCAAGTGGCCTACTGAAGTTCAAATTGTGACTTAAGTGACTTTTTAAGTGACTTTAAATGTGAACTGGATAGCAGTGCCAGATGGACTGGTCTGTTTCAGAAACTGCTGATCTGCTGGGATTTTTCCACACAACCATCTTTGAGTTTAAAAGGGAGGAAATATTCAGGGGTCACCAAAATTGGACAACAGAAGAAGATTGGAAAATGTCGCCTGATCTGATGAGTCTCGATTTCTGCTGCAACATTCAGAACTTGGCATAAATACCATGAACGTTTGGATCCCACCTCAGGCTGCTGCTGGTGGTGTCATATTTCCTTGGCACATTTTCTTGGCTCCTTTGTACCAGCTGGGCATCATCCAAACACCACAACCTACCTGAGTATTATTCCTGACCATGTCCACCCCATTATGATCACAGCGTTCCCATCTACTGATGGCTGCTTCCAGCAGATAACACATTATGACACAAAGCTCAGACCATCTCAAAGTGGCTTCTTACACATGACATTGAGGTCACTGTACAAAAATCCACAGTCACTATCACAGTCACACTGGCATCATGGACGTATTTTCAACAAATCTGCAACAACTGTGTGACGCCATCATGTCAATATGGGCCAAAATCTAAGAAATGTTTCCAGCACTTCATTGCCATGAAGAATTACAGCAGCTGTGAAGCCAGAGAGGGGTCCAACCCAAGATTAGCAATCTTGAGACTGCACCTAATGAAGCCACCGGTGAGTGTATAATCAGACGCACAGAACAAACAGCAGTGTGATTCGACTACTCACAGTACAGCTGATGAAAGTGCTGCAGCTCAGGCGTGCCCTGCACTGCGTTGTAGAAATGTGGTTTCAAAGCGCCACTCTTTAGCAGGCTGTAAGCCATCTCTGTCAAGTTGATCCCAACTATTGCATAGGAATACCTTTAAAAAACAAAAAAGTATAAAGTGCACCGTAGAAATGACATACTGTGCATATGGAAAACGTAATTTCAAAAAATGAATAAAGTCTACATCATGCGACACAAAACACCAATGGAAGCTATATGAATCGAAGGTCTCTTACCCTAGTTTAGGATGGTTTGCATGAGACAGCACCTGCCGAGCCTCCGCTGTGTAGTTTTCACTGAAAAAACTGCAAAGAGCCAAACAAATTAAGAGTTTATTTACGGTCTCTTTTTAACCAATAAACATGACGTCAAACAGAGTCTGCATGATTAAACATGTTGAGGTCACATCATTCTGACCTACAGATTTTAAAAATAAAGTCAATGTGTGTTTGACTGGTGCTGCTTTAATAATCTGACACATCGCTTGTCATTTTGTGTCCTCGTCCTCATCAGTCGAAAGAACAAGTGAAACGAGCGACTGACGTGTTGGGGGTTGCCTTTAAAGTCCTTCAGCCTCAAAGTCAAGCCTGTCTGACATCCTGTCATGCTCTCTTTGTCCCGTTGAATACTGGTTCTGCTGGCTCATTATTCAATACTTGGAGGAGGAGGTGTTATGACAGTGCACTGACTGTTTCTTTTTATAATCCTCATTAACGTTCTCTTCTTTTCTTTTAAACCCTTCCTACAGCTGACTGGCTGTAGAAGCCAACCTGCATGCATTTAAAGTCAGAGGTGGTGAAACAGCCACCTCTACTCCATCAGCACCACTTTTGTCTTTAGTCGCTATCTCTAGCATTGTTTAATTATTTTTCGCTGAGTTGGGAGTTACTGACAGTCCTTCTTTTCAGTCTTTGTTTCAAATATTATTTTATAGGTGAAGCCTGAATCTTGTTGGTTCAAAGCCCTCTCCTTCTTGTGTTTGTTTCTGCCGGGGCTCCCATCTACCTTACTTGGTGAGGTTTTGTGAGTAATTATTGTTGTACCCTAAAAATTATCTGTTGGGTTACACTGAGCCATGGATTTGGAGTGGAATAGTGTACCTTATACGTACCCTTTGAGCTGTATCTACAACCACCTTTCATAATCTGTGTAAGGTAATTAAAAGTATTTCTCATCAAAACTTGAGTGGAATATAATCTTAGGATAAGTACTGTTGTCGCTTCTTGTGTGTGGATTGGTTTAATCATTAGAGCCTACCAAATATAAACATTCAGCAAATTCAGCCAAAAAGCACCTGATGGGGGAAAAAATGTTTCCAAGAATCCTCAAATTTCATTACAAAACCTATAAGAGCTGATGTGTGTCAAAGTTCATGCATCTATAATCACACAGATTGCACAAATATGACCTGCATAACAGGCGTTCTGTTTACTGTCCAAAAAACAGAAACGTCACAGATTAGACTTTGCCAATAGGTACAGAGGCAAAGACCAGGACTTTAGTGTGCTGTGGACACACTGATCAAAGAGAGAGTGGTTGGGGCAAAAAAAAAAAAAAAGTACACATGTTTTGTGCTGACCAATAGTGTCTTCTTGGGAAAAGAGCATAAACTGTGAAAACCTTTCTGAGAACTTTGTGGTCTCAGAAAGTGGGCAGGTTGCAGTTCTTGATTCAACTATGACAGAGTTCTTCAACATAAAGCGAGGCCAAAACCAGAAGTGGACCTTATAAAAGGATGATGATTCTAAGTAAACGAGTAAATCCACCAAATAATGTAATAATGTCAGACAGAGGAGAAATGGAGCGTTCTGGAACGGCCTAGAAAAAACACAGAGGACTGTGGGGGTTTTTTGGCAAATATTTTTGTAAAATCGCAACATTTTTGGTGTGTACATAAATGATACACGACAAGTTCACATCCCCCAAAAATTCAGAACTTCGTGTTGTTGTTTTTTTTGCAATGAACTCGATGTTTGAAGGCCTTTACACTGGTACTGTACTCACACGAGGTTGATCAGCCCCAGCAGGCCCATCCCTCTGAAGTCAGTCTTGGGGTCCTCCCCTTGGAATCCAATGTCTCCCCACTGTTTAGTTATCCTGGACTCCAGCTTGACTGTTGGCATCAAAAGGTCCCAAAGCTAAACACACACACACACACACGATCAAATCCGTCCACTACAATAACTTGGAAGTACAACGATTCCTAATATGACCTTGTGCCAGCATTTTAGACTCCCATCCAACAGCTTACAGTGTTTCTATGCTGATGTGATGTTAGACTGTGGTATTATCTTTACTATGTCAATCGATGTTTAAAAAAAAAATCCTAAATGCTACTTTTAGTAATGTGCAGAAATAATAATAAAACACATTTTTCCTTAGTTTACAAATCTTGGTTCAAGTCTCATCTTAGCAGAAAGCCTGTGCATATGGACACAGCTTCACTGCTATTGCTCTAGGAGCAGGAATCCATACCTTCAAAAGCATGGCCTCGTGTTCAGGGTTGTCTGAGCTGAAGACTTCCTTTCTCAAGTCTTCTACAGATATATACAAGCTGCTATATCCTGTTATCTGCAGCAGGCAGATGTTGAGGCTCTCTTTGAACCTGCAACGGAAGATCAATTCAATCACATTCAAAAATCACTCTTACATCAAAGAATTGCAGCTGACAGGC